TGTGAATAAAACACACCGCGTATTCTGACCTAGAATACCTTCGAATACTCTGTGAATATTTTTCAAGACCTAGTATTCACACTTCGGCATAGAAAATGTGATTGTACGCATGAATACGGGATAATCAACGAGTTATATTGTGTAAATATTGCAGGAAATGCGTTTATATACCACGGAATAGGCAAAGGTTGTTTCAGTTCAATGCCGGTGTCAACTGTTATCCAGCATTTCTTCTCATCACGGTCACAAATTGAAATTGCACTTGATTTGTTTAGACAATAAAGACAATAAATGTTACCAAACGCACGATGATTTTTATTTGATTAATTTTTTTTGCTGCCGCAGGGATGTCGAGTATCGTATATCCTCAGTCGATGAGCGCTGAGTAGCCTCGTAAGTCGTAAAAAAGCTGTATAAAAAGAGAAATATCCATCAATTTCTTTAATTACCTGTGTAAAAGAAGTTATATATAAAAAAAATACTTTTATTTTTGCTTGGATACGTAAACACATGGGTAGAAAGTTGATGATTCTGTATCGTCAAAAGCATCCGTAATATATACAGTTCAGTGTTGGGAAATCGTAGGAAATTTCCTTTGGGAAATTTCCTCTTCGACATGTTAGTGACAATTTTTGCGCCAAGGAATTGCGGCGAAATTGCGAATAAATGGCGAAATTCGGAGGTCGTATAACAATAACAGGTAAGTTATTTAATAATAACAAGAGTTATGTCATACTATAGTCCTGAAACAACACAACACAACAACAATAGTGCGAGGCCAACGCTTTTACGGCTGGGCTCATCACTTTTTTTGTTTTTATTAATATAAATAGATTACGATTGTGTTTATTGTAGCTAATTTGTACACAGCTAACTGTACCTGCTTGTAAATAAATAAATTGTATGATGGTTTTCATCAATCCTACCTCCATCACACACTAATTATAGTAGGTACAAATGTTTGCCATTTCAAAGCCATACTCAATACAAACAAAATTTAAAAGTTTGCCAATACTGAAAAGGGACATTACTTTCTTACCTACCACAAATATTCAGAAAGCTGCTGTAATCATAACTTTAACATAACATAACCCTTAGATAGACGTTTCAAGATGCATTGAAATGAGGTGCATTGGTGCATTTCATGAGGGTTTTTTATATTTTAGGCAAAATTTATATATTATAGATATATATATTGTTATATAATTGTCACAGAATAGCTAATGATTGATTGCCAAAAGATTGAAATCTTAACAATCAGCTGCCCAAAGACAGAAATCTTAACAGCTTAGAAATCAAAGCCAGACTGTGTTTTTTAGTTATATATAATACATATTTTTTAACAAAATAATGGCCTATATTTTTCCTTTTAGCATATATGAATTATATTTACACTAATATTTACCACAGAATAGCTATTGAACTGGTTGCCAAAAGATAGGAATCTTAACAACCAGCTGCCCAAAGACAGAAATCTTAACAGCTTAGAAGTTCATGCTAGACTGTGTTTTTAAGTGAAGCCTTTTAACATTGCCCTCATCATAATTTATAACTGAGACTGTTTACTGATTTGTTTGCAATTACTTTTCCGTACATAAATTATAATCACAATACTTAAAAATATACCATTAAAGTGTAGATGAGTTTACTACAGCTTCTCGATGTTTGCATACTAGGAGTAGCTATGTGTATATACAGCTTTAAGTTCATGGAAGAATTTGTTTCCATTTTTACCCTAATTGATTAGCTTCCAAATTATATGAATGGTGTGTACATTGTACATTGTACATATACATTCTCCTAGGAATATTATAATTTCATTACACTGCATAAATTCTATGCACAACAATAAAAACAAATGGCCATGCATGCAACATCAGCTTTTACTATTATCATTAACCTTTCGGATAATAATCTATTATAGCTTAAGAAAGTTTGCTATGTATTTTGTTCAATAATTGCTTTAAGGTGGTTTTAATTGTTTTTAGCCATCAGGGGTTGCAAGATTGAGAAAATTCCCAAAAGAGTTGGCCTTAACTTTGCTAAAGATGAAGAGGATTTTTCACCCAGTGAAAGAAGTTCCTGATTCATTATCTGCTCACCTATAGTTTTTAATATCTTACCAAGTAAAAAAACATCACTTGCTTTGCTCAACAATTTACTATTAAGTATAATTTCTGACATACTCCAGGAGCAATGTTTCATATATACTAAAACAACATTGCTTATAAATTAACAATCAGCTGATGAAAGATTGAAAATCATAACAGCTTAGTAGAAGTTCATGATAGGCTGTTTTTGCTACATATTTTGAACAATTTGTGATGTTCCAATAATATTTTATAAAATGTGAAATGTTGTAACCTATCACATGTACATGATTTGTTAAGGACTGTATAAAATTTAAATAATTGACTGAAATCTTAGTATTGCATTTGATCAACCTTGATAAAACACATTAACTGTGGATAAACCTACCATTGCAATGTGTATGACTGCTATGCAAATTAACATGGCAACCTAAAGATTATGCATGTTTGTTCATATTGATATTTTCCTTAATGGACAGACTTGAGGGACAATAAATGCCTAAACATTCGCACAGGCTGCGAACGCATAACCCATTAACCTCTTATCACCAGGTAATTTGTTAATAAAATGTTGAGATTACTCCCAACATGGTCCTAGGGTATAGTCTATAGGCCGGCTATTGAATTCAGCTGCACGATATTTAGTCACTCACCGAAGAGGTCCCTTACGCACAAACAGTATATGCGTTTTCGGTTTTGAACAATAAAAATCCTTGAAATACGGTTAATATTCGTTATCATTTTACACGTATTAGCGAACATAAGGTGCTGTGGAAATCGCGCCATGCAATCTCATTTCTATTTCGCGCATTTTCTTCATCAGACTTCGTGGGAATCGTAGCATACAAATACTCGCCGGCATGCTCTTTAACTGCGACCAGAGTTTCCAGACTTTACCAAGCCCTTGGCATCCTTGACTCTCTTCCCTTATTTGTAAGCGCCAAAAAGATTTCTTACAGCCACAAACGCACGATCTCCTCGTTCAATGTTTATTAAACTCGAAAGCGCGCTTTTTGGTTTTTGCGCCAAATTATTTATAAAATTCCACTTCAATTTTTCACCATTCAAAATAAAGTTTAAAAATGTCAGCTGATGAATTTATTTTGTGGAAACACGGATTAAGTGAGAAGTGAGATATTCCAAGTGTGAATATTGGTCAGAATACGCGGCATATTCACGGCGTATTCACACTTAGAATACTGAAGAATACGATGCCGTATTCACACTAATATTCCATGTCGGAATACGCTTGCAATATGTGTTTTATTCACACCCGTATTCACATGTGAATACCTTAGAATACGGCGCTTTTCATGCAGTGTTGGAGACGTTGTAATCATTAGAGGAGATGCGAAGAACCGTCATTACTGGAAACTAGGAGTCGTCGAGGGATCCATCGAAGGAAAATCCGGGAACCAAAGGTCAAAACCAACAACGGTATCCTAGAAAGGGCGACACAACATCTCAGCCCTCTAGAATTATCGTACGACCGCCCTCGACCTACAACCCCGCCGCAACAGAGTTCACCCCAAAACCACGCAGAGTCGTGGCGATTGCTGCAGGTTTACGAATTCAGTACATCATCGATACACAAAAAGTGAATAACTTTTAAGAGAAAGAAAACACTGCGCGTTACTGAACGTATTAAAATCTAAGTTAACATATAGGAAGTGTGTCCGGACTCCGGAGGTAGTGTGACTGGAAGTGCATGCAAGATAAAAATACAGTTTTGGTTGCTTGCTTGAACGTTGCTTGCCAATTCTGCTAGACTCGTAATATAGTAAAGACATCATGACCCTGAACCCCACCCATGCAGACGAAAACAAAACTCTACAGCTATGAGATTAATCATTAGAGAAATTAACAATTTTGAGAGATCAGATATGTAAATTTGACAACGACGAAACTTTTGTTCCATTAAAAACCATGGACCGATAGACGTTTCTTACACTTACTTTTTTAAGATTCGTTACTAATGAGTAACCTAAAAGACCTAAAAGGTATTATTACATTCTTTGATTCTAACATATGTATAGAAGTAAATGGTTAGACTTGATATAATAATAATACAAATTCCGCATTTTGAATTTCAACTTTTTTGAGACCCTGTATTACAATGGTTTTTGAATACTTCTTGTAATATAAGTACTTTGACTGATCACATTGATATGTTTGGACGGCACACTGAGGTATATATTAGGCATGCCAAGCGTTATCATTACTTGGCTTTCTGCCCACCTCCATCTACAGTCTTGCTGACACCGCATTTTCTTCAGGAAATGTTCTGGCTTTCTTTAATATCAAAATTTTCCCGCTGAAACTGCGTTTCGGCAGCCCGTTTAACACGTACCTCTATTGAACATGTTGCCTGTTTGTAGCCTCCCGAAGTTTTGAGCAGGCAAAATATTTTGAAATTGCGTGACCGCGAGTAGGCCATTGAATCGAACATCATAACAGTGGAATTGTTTTGACAACAGCCTATAAAATACACAAGATAATTTCCCGAAGTCCGGATGGGGGCAATAATATATAGCATAGAATGCATAGACTGATTAATATATCATGATGTATATATTGTATATTTCATACATCCTTATAACCCTAATTCCTAAAAATTGTTTTTCTAATCTATTCCGCCTACGAGGCAGTCTTTCGACAGAAACCCTGTATTTCCACGCAACATGAAGTTTATTATTTTATTCGTTGAGATTCGGGGGAATTAATTTTTCGCATAGATACATCTATGATTTTTCCGTCTCCAGTGTGTCTCCAGTCCAATCATTTGATTGTGATGTCACGATACACCCCCAATTATCCCCATGCCCAAATTAGGAACATGTTCGATGTGGCAGCTGTTTCAAATTCAAGCCTTTTGTTTGCTTCGTTGCTAGGCAACAGTGGATTGTGGGTAAATAGGTACGGGCCGCCATTTGCATTCGTTCGGCAAAGAAAAGATTAACAAGGGCTTAATATTCGTTGCTCACGCGTAAACAGCTCAAGATGATGGGAAGATCGAACTATTAACAGGTAAGGGAGTGTTTTAAATCTATTATATGTAGCCATCTTTTGGATTTAACAAATTTCTAGTTTCCTACGCGGTGCGTTATTTTGCTTCACAATACGTATCCATGACAAATAGATGAATATTATACGTAGCTTGCTGGCTGTTATGTCGAAGGTTTGAGGTTCTCTAAAGTATCTTTCTCACGGTTTACTTTAGCAATGGCTTGGCTTTCATCTTTGGTTCAAATATATTTCTATTGTGAGCCGATTTTGAGTCGAATGAAGGGAATAAGTTTGTCGAAATATTGATCGCACGTTGTCAAGTTTGTAGTCGTTCCTCCATAAACAAACGACATGAAGCGATATCAGACTATTAAAAATCTTGGCGACGGCACTTATGGCTCTGTCACGTTGGCAAGGAATTGTGAAACAGGCGAAAATGTGGCAATAAAACGGTGAGAATACGCTTCTTGTGATTAATAATTATTAATTACTATCAGTAATGTATGCCATTGTGGCCATATAAATGTTGTTCCTTTTGTTGCTTCATACAATGTACCTCTTTACGGTCAATGGGTGTATATGATTTTATCACTCAATTGTTGGCATCTGTATTACTATGATCATTGTCTGCAACATTGAGATTCTGCAACAGTCTGTTGTATTATTTCATTATATTGATTTCAACATGCAGCAAATGTAATTGCAAGCTTTCTTTCACAGTGGTATTGACACTATATTTTAGTGCTTTTGACATAAAATTAAGATTGAGTTCTGTATCAACTGTTTTTAAGTTTGTTTAGTTGTGTTAGACCTGTATAGTGGTAACAAAGGACCTAACAAAAGAGTCTTTCACTGCATCTATGGTTTCAAATTGTTTTGTGCAGAAGGTTGCATGATTAGAATACACAAAGTTTAGCACCCTGATGGATTTTTGATAGTCTTGTTTCTGACAAAATAACAGCTAAATTTTTGACAATTGCCATCTTGCAGTGAGTGCATTAAAATAAATAGGAAATACAATTTTAATATGTATGGATGACATCCATTAAAAAGATCTAAAGGTTATCAATAATTTAAATCTTCGATGAGTCTCCTATTTTTGTTCATCTGTTGGAAACGGCATCATTTTCCACAAGATGTTTTATTCTTTGTTATGTGTGCATCAGAATATCCATTGAATCGTAGTTAAGCTTGTAAGACCTATAGGTTTGAACTTCATTTTTGTAGCTAAAATAGAATTAAGCAGACAAGGGAATCTAGAGCTGTTAGAACATGTAACCTAAGGCCTACATGCTAGTGAAGATTTTTTAGACGAAGCCTAAAGGTCTAGCCTAGTGTAAATGCCCTTATTCCAAAGGAATTTAAGCATCTCCCTCTGAGTGTGACATTATCTATCTAACAGTCGATCAAAGGTTCCTACAGAAGTGAGAAATACTTTTTCATTGTAAACTATTTTTTCATTATCAATGTTTTTATACAATTATGTATTACATTTAACTGCATCCCAACTGCAGCATCATTGCTAAGGATGAATGGTTGCTAGGGAAAACATTGTGGGTTTATTTTACTACAAAGCCTCAATGTTTTTGTTTTAATTATCTAAGCTGATTAGCATAAAGTTGGTTAATCTTGATTGGATCATCAGGTGTGAGAACCTGCTGCAGATACTTTTTTAGAAACATCAAAGATTCATGTGAAAATGCATATACAATAGCAGTGTTTTTATATGCAGACTGTCTTACACAGATACAAGTGGCAAAATAATATTTAAAATTATATTGGCAAACAAATTGAATCTCTAAGAGAAATTGAGAATTTGGCTTCCCTTCACTTAATTCCCTTTGAAAACTAAGATACTTTGTGTCATATTGTTGATTTAGTAAAAAAATGCTTAGTAAGAGTTGTCGCTATCAAACTTTTAACACTTGGCTCTAGTCAGTATAGCTGACTATTCTTCATGCTGTCAACAAAAAAAAATGATCCACACCTATTGCACACTATAAGAATATATTTTCTGTATTAGAATATGTTCGTTCTGTTTTTCGATTCACTTATAGAGCACATTTGAGAGTCTGGTAGCTGGTTAACTTATGTTACTATTGAAATTAAGCCATGACCAGGGCAATTAACACATACAGAAAGTAGCTCATGTCAAAAACTTTTAAAGTCTGTGGCAAAGTGTGTGGCAAGCAAATTGTCTTTGACAAATTTTCCTTGACAAGTTTTACGATAATTAATGTGAGTACAATATTTTACGATAATATGAGCCATGATAAAATGAGTATACCACCGAGTCTCAATTAAAACAAACAGAAATTGAAAAACTTCAAAAACCCGCTCGATTGGCTCTGAGATTGCTGCGCTGTTCCCTAGAGGTTGCCTTGTCAAGTTTTTTTTTGTTGAAAAGCTGGCATGACTAGCCTGCTCGCAGACTGAAGGACTAGCTTTTGAACAAGGCTGCTTGTCAAGGAAAACTTGCCTTACAGACACGGGGCATAAAAAGAGGTAAATTCGTCTGTTTTGTAAAAGTGGCCTATATATTTGGCTGTTGCATTTCATTTTCAAGTGACTTAGCCAATTATACAGCTTTCGTTTGCGTACTCGCGATCGACGTTGCTACGTATTTTATTCACAAGAATATTTTTTCTTGTACCAGTTCATATAGCTAGCATTTAATGATCTCACAGATCGACGAGGCTGACCCCGAGTAGAGAAGTTAACTCGCGCGCGATACTACAGCATTTAACTAGGTCTTGGCCGCTGCCGATCGGTAGCGAACGAAGCGATCGAGCTAGACGATGCGAACGAGGTTGCTGATGCGATCGTGTTAAGTCAGGGAATGCGAGCGTTCTTTAAGACTTGCTAAATTTCGACACTTTTAACAGGAACATCTGGAGCTAAACGGTACTCTCTCCATCCCGAGATCACGCAGTCACACGCGATTCACTGCGGTGAATCCGTGGAGTGAAGAAGAAATAAACACACAATAAACACACAATAAACACGTCCAAGGCATGCCACGAAAAAACTTACCGAATCCCAGAAACTCACCTACTCGGAGCCGCGAAAATGTCCAATAAAACTAGAACAAAAGAAAACAGAACAAACTCCGGCAAAAGGGGATAAGGACTTGTTAACCAAAAACGGGGAGGGGGACCTGAAGGGGAAGGGTGGGAGTTGACAAACGCACAAGTAAAGGGTAGGAGCTAAGCAAGTCATATTTATACTAACAGTAGGAGATAATACCGTGGGGCCAACGCCCGGTCCCGTGACAATAACAACATCTCTTCGACATTTCCTTTATTATGAATAATAAGTACATTAAAAATTAATCACACTCATTTATTCTTGTTATAATACTTGACAGCAATACACTCAGCATGCAATATCTATTTTTTATATCCGCTATCGTTGCTGTTGAAAAAAAAAATTGCATCGCAATTAAGCCTTCATATTAATAATCTTTAGGTATCAAAGTGCATAGAACCTACAGTATATGTTTTCCAAAACAGAGCTATTAGTGGAAGTAATGCATTTATAATGCAGTTCTGTTATGTTCGCGAATTGGCAAGTTTTCAGTTTTGGCGGAAAATTTCCCGGGTGTCTTAACGCAGTTATGACTCAAAAGTTCCAATAACACCTTGTTACTTCAAAAGGTTAACTTTAGCCTTTCCTATATTGTAGTTTGAACGAAACAATATTGTAATACAATCTATATTGTAATATGTTAATTAGTCTGGTAATAAAGCAACGCCCCGTTGCAGCTGTACTCGGCTTTTTTATATCTTCCCGCGTATAAATGGGTACTCTTAGCATGTGGCTTAAGGATTTCGTGTGTGAATAGAGTTTTTGATCCTGCCCAAATCGAGACTAGATTGAGACTAGATTGAGCCAAATATATCTGATTACTATATCCCTCCAACTTTAATATTTATTTTAGCGTGTTTATTTCGATGATTAGCTTATTGTGAAAATGAATTGAACTTTGGCGATTTTTAATGTACAAAACAGCATAACTCATAAACCTATCATTACAAGTCTGCATGTTGACATCTGTTAACCACACATTTCCGTGTGTTTTATTAACTTTGAAAGTGGGCAAAATGATACGTCGGTTTGAATATAGCAGGGACAGAAACGTCGAGAAATATTTTGTTTACCACATTTTGGGCAAAATGATAGTTCAACCACTTGTCTAAGCGCCTATAGCAAAGCGACGGAAGCCGTTTTTAAAATCAATATTGTTGTACATTAAAGAATTTAATTTAGTGAGCTCCGAAAAGGATGAACAAAACGCTGAAATTTCTTTTTTAATTTTCAGGATGAAAAGAAAATATTATTCCTGGGACGAGTGCGTTAACTTACGTGAAGTAAAGGTACTGGAATAATATAGGATATATAGAGGGATATTAATTGAGGGGAACTACGATATATTTAATACCCCACTGCGCCCTTGCGACTGATGTCATAGCTCGTATTTGTAGATTTCTGACGAAATAAATAATGTCACTGATCATTGTTTGTTTTGTATAGTCTTTGCGAAAACTAAATCATGCAAATGTTGTAAAACTGAAAGAAGTGATCAGAGAAAATGACCAACTGTATTTTGTCTTTGAATACATGAGAGAGAATCTCTATCAGATGATCAAAAATAGGTAAGGAAATTGTCATTTCGATGTCTACTTTGTGATAGATGAAGTAGTTTTCGTGCAAAAGTTTTGTCTTCTGGGAGTGCTTCATGATTTTGCTGATACTGTTTTCAAGATTACAGTCGTATAGCTATTTCAGTAAGAAAACTATCAGCTTTATTTTCGTTTACTTTATCTTTGTTTTATTCAAGGGATCGGTATTTGCCAGAGCAAACTGTGAGAAATATCATGTATCAGATCCTACAAGGGATAACCTTCATGCATAAACACGGTATGTATTTATTTGTACCGCTAATCAAGTTCTCTTTGTCATTAGAGTAGATTGTTGGTATAGTGTACTAAACAAGGCATATAGTGTAATTTGCAAACCAGACAAATCTGTCGCCAAGGATATGCATGTATCCAAGATGGCGGGGTGCATGTGCCGCCATTGTTAAAAAGATATGGAATGTTTAATGTCGAAGATCGATAAGTCACATCGTGAAGTGATTTTGCGATATAGCTAGGGTACTGAATGTGTTTTTGAAATAAATAAAATTTGTCATCGGTATCATTAAGATAACTTGTTTGTGGACTTTCCTTTTTCCGCATGTGAATGGTAATTTTTAAACGAGCGATACTAATATCCTTCTAGGTTATTTTCACCGAGATATCAAACCTGAGAATTTGTTATGCAGTGGCCCGGAGCAAGTGAAGATCGCTGATTTTGGTTTGGCGAGAGAAATCAGGTCAAGACCACCCTTTACTGACTACGTCTCGACAAGATGGTAGGCCGTTGAATACTTCATAACGTAATTCATGTATTATCATCTTGAACATGTTGAAAATACGGTGCAGATGGCACGCGTACCGGAAAGCGCTCAAAATGCCACCGCACACTAGAAGACTTTGCAGAGGCCGGTTTTATCAAGCCCGTTGAGCTTAAACGGAGGATAAGTTGAAAATATAGAAAGCAAGTCTCCAAGCGAACTAAAAGTTTTTAACTTTAATACAAAGATACTGTTTAGAACTATATATTCAGTGCATAATATTCAAGTTGAGTCATTCAAGTGAGATGTAAGAGTGATATTTAATTTTGACTTATCCACCGTTTAAGCTAAACGGGCTTGATACAAGAGAAACGGACTTGGTACAAGAGAAACGGGCTTGATACAAGAGAAACGGGCTTGAAAGGCTAACAGCTTAAATACACATAAAAACGAACACCAGGTATCACACAGTACAGTATTTTTCAGTAAGAATAAAGACTTAAAGCAAACGATATAGAACTTAAATTTTAGCAGAAACAAGTTTCGTTAAGGTAGAAGGATTTAAACATGGGTCCCGTCGGTAGGATGGAGTAAAAGAGCAATATTTTACACATTTATCACGGAATGAAACTAAAATTTTCCGACATAAATACACCAATAGTTTTTACAACTACACATATTGCATGCCGTTCACATAACATGTTTGAAAATGTTATTTATCTTTGGGTTATACATTATTTAAGCTAATCCGGCTTCGTACAACCGCCCCCTTGAATCGAATAGCAAAATTTTCCATACACTTCAGTATTTCAAATGCAAAACTGGTACCTTAAAATCTTAAACAGTTATACCCATAGTCTATGAAGACAGCCTAATATTAGCATTATTTAGAAACGTTGGACTGTTTTCTCGTTAAATTAAACCTTTGGGCGATATAAAGTGTACCTTTCGGCATGGAAATTTTGGAGGATCCTCAAACACGATTTTTGTTCGAATTTTCTACTCCTTGATGTATTTGACGAGCGCGCGTTTCCAGCTATTATCAACAGTTTATTTTAAATCGGTTTCATTCAAACATAAGGCTTGATTATGAGGTGATATTTCCGATCTCGGCATTCATAAGGTTCTACGTCATCACAAAAACCAACCTTACGGTCGACACTTGCTCGTTATAAGACTTGTGTTTTGTTTCCCATGTAGAGCAACTATTTATATATTTGACTCAGCATATTATCTCTCTAGGTATCGAGCGCCCGAGGTTCTGTTGAGATCAACCAACTACAGTTCTCCTATTGACATCTGGGCGTGTGGTTGCATAATGGCCGAAATTTACACATTGCGACCTCTTTTTCCCGGTAACAGCGAAATAGATGAAATTTATAAAATTTGTTCTGTGCTTGGAACTCCATCCAAGGTAAGAAATATTCAGAGTGAGCGAAAACACATCATAAACCCACTATTTGTGTTTTGTAAAAAACTCCTGTGTATATATAAGAGTGACTTTGAAATGAAGTCGAAAACCTACCTTAATTCAATTTTTTTAATGAGATCATTTCTTCACATTCCTAAACTGTCTTGTGCATAGTTATAAGCCCCGTTTACACTACAGTTAATTTATCGGCACGGCACGGCTAAAATTGGTACCCGTGCCCAATTTTATTAGTGTTCAGGCTACCAAAACAAAGGCCGAGCATAGATGAAATGGGTATGGGTACCCATTTTAGCCGTGCCGTGCCATTAAATCGAGTGTAGTGTAAACGGGGCTATAGTTGATTATTCTTATCTGTAGCGTGTGTGTATCTATTTCTATTTTGCAGTATGAACGTTCGTTTCCTCTACTATGATTTTTTTGTGTAGGACGACTGGAGCGAGGGATATAAACTTGCTGCTGCCATGAATTTCAAGTTTCCAACGATGGTAAGTTGACACTGACAAGAAACGTCTTTTGGAAGACAGAGTTGTCTAACTATTGCGATAGCTATTTTCATTTTTATTGGTACATCTTAATAGACTTTTAGGCCCAATTTCCCCATGAAATCGTTGATATTTTCATGCAACAGTCCCCATGTGAATTTTATAACTCAGCTACATTTTCCCTTCGAATACACACTGCGTCAATTATGTATCACTTTGTCCGAACGACCCTTCGCTATTTCGCCCAGGCGTGGTAAAAACCACTATGGTACAAAAATAATCCAAGGTCGCTTTGCTGAAACTTGTTTTTCGATAATCGCCTACTAATAGTTCCATTAAATCTTGCATTAAACAACACTAATTCTTCTCGTGTATCATCAGGTGACCACGCCGCTTCGTCAAATCATTCCAAATGCAAGCACGGAAGGCATCCAACTCATCAAAGATATGCTATTGTGGAACCCACAGAAGCGACCGAACGCGGCCCAATCCTTGCGATATCCTTTCTTCATGGTCGGAGTTGATCTTCCCCAAACCAAAGTGAACGCTCAGCGCGGCTCGGCCAAGAAACCGGACGATATTCGGAGAATCAGCGATGCTGGAAAACCAGTTAAACCTCTCACGAAAAAACCTAGTGGTTTCTTCGACGATTATGATTTTGACGGGCACGCTAAAGAGAATCGGAATTTACAAGAACCCGTGAACAACGGGTCTATACGACGGGTCAGTGACTCCGGAAAGCCCGTTAAACCGCTGCTGAAAAAGAAAACCAGCGCAATTTTTGACGATTTTGACATCGATAACTTGAAAGATGGCTTGCAACAATCCTACCGGGGTAAAATATCCGATGGGGCCAAAGGATCCCTATCGTCGGCGAAGAACGAGAACAATGCCCGGGGGAACCCGGTTAAAAACGTGGAATCCGATAGCCTTTTGGAGTATGGCATTTCGAACCTCAATAAATCTCATCACAACGGAAAACGATTCGGCGGTAGAGCGGATGACGGAGATACGAGAAAGGAAGCATCAAAAACGACAAAGTTGCCGTATTTAGATAATGTTCCGGATAAAAATAAGCATTTCTCAAAGGAGAATCGTGCGCCTGAGCAGTCTAATAGACATCATACGAATGATAACAACAATTACAGTGTTGCAGGCGGCAAGGTCGATATGAATTCAGAGAAGAATTCGAGTGTTTTTGGAGGAGAAAGACGGAAGTGGAAGGGGCCTGCCGCCGCAAAAAGATCCAGTCAAGATGATGATCTTGAGAACCTCATGAACGAGATTGAGAGTTCAACTTATAATAACAGCAAACCTGGAGCAAAGGTTAGTTTGCTTTACACGCACTGTTTATGATCACATTTTCATTTCTGCTTTGGGGGTTCTTAAAATGTTTAAGGGAGGAATGGAAGAATGTGGTTTTACCCTGTATAAGTTACATTGCTTCTCTATTGGTTTTATCTAATATACAAAGGTATTGTATACCTTTTCCAATATATTTTATGTTTGATAATCCAAAGTTATACTCTAATATCTAATAAGATATTTACTCTGATAAATGTTCCAATATTCAACAACTTTCATCCAACTTGTGTACCGAAGTTGCATGTATCTTTTAGACAATTTCAATGTTTACATGCGCGTACGTACGTACGATAACGCAACAATGCGAAACATCGATAACCCTTGTTGCTAATGTTTGTATTATTTATCAACTTGTGTTTTATTTCGCGTGTAATAATTTACCTCTTTATTAAACCTAGGTTCCACCCACGAAACGACGTGAGACGCGAGACACTTTCGAAAAGTAAGTAGTTAAAATAGTGTATAAATTGTTAATATGTGCAGAATTTTATGTAAACGCGAAACGGTAGTGAAATTCCTGTTAGTCACAACGAATTAAATACAGTAAGAAAACCAATCAACTGGCGCTTAGGGTCTTTCTACCTGCAGTGACACAGGGACAGTGCAGTAGGCGGTAGAGTTTTCAATAACGACCTATTTATACGTCTTATTCACTTTAAAGCAATCTTGGGCCGTTGAAAGACGGTGATTCAAATCGTCGCAATCCTCCAAGCGCCAAGGAACATTATATGAAACAAGCGAGATACTTCCCAGGGCAGAGTCCTGCAGCGGCTAACAAAATGCCTGCGAGTAAAAAATCGTCGGTCGGCATGGGTTTAAACGCTTCCTACCTTCCCTCGTTCCATAATGGACAGTCCAGACTAGGAGGAGGTTATGGTATTGGTGGAACTTCCGGTAGCTCCGTTGGTGAGTTCACAAGCAAAATTTTCCCTCAAATATTAAATAACCATGTCCTGTAATGGTCTATCCGATGTGTTTTTTCCCCTTTCTATTACTGTCCCTGCCCACACGGATGAATTTTTTTCAAGAAAATATACATATTTATTCCCCCCTGAGAAGAATATCACAAAATTCCAAAACACTTTCATTTTATTAGCCATAAGATAAACATGCAATATTATCTTCTCCAGGTGTTGGAGGGTACTGGAAACCTACATTATCACGACAGCCAAGTGGTCCAGTGTATCAACCGCCAGGGGCTGCTAAACCTGGCAAGGTTGGAGGAGCTGTTCACGGCCGAACGGACTGGAGCCTAAAGTAAGTAACCTCAATTTGGGTAACCATATTACTTTCCAAAATATCATTATTTCTTCCATCTTAACTCTATCCTACTGTACCTTTAACCCCAATACTGGTTCAAATCTTAGTCGTACTGAGTCCGGTTTACACTTACAATTTTTGCTGCGCGATTTTCTTCTTTTGAAAGATGTGAAAGAGTAAATTAGTTACTGATGTTTAAGAAAGAGCTCTTATACCGGGTGTCCCAGAAAAAAGTACTCCGGTTTGATTCATAATAGCTTCTAAACTAGCTAAGCTATTAAACTGAAATAACTTTCACTAGATGGAGGGAAGCCTGACTTAGATTTTGATATATTACAGTTGTATTTTACTTACAAATTTACGGAGATATCAATGTTCAAATTTGGTGGCATATTTCTGGATGTGTCTAAATTATGCAAAAAATGCCGTATCAAATAATTTTATTAATCAAGCTTTTCTCAACTGAAACATGCACTATTAGCAGTAAATAATGCAATATGCGATTTTTTTCTTTGGGGATACCTTAAGCAGCAAATTTGAATATATATCACACGAACAGCAACCGCAGAATTTAGAAGAGCTTCGCAACTAAATCGTAACAGCATGCCGTAATCTAGAACAACGAATGATCCATGACTCCTTCAACGCAATGGTCTCACAGGTTATGCAGTGCATTCGTGTTGGGGGACACGCGATTCCGAACGAATAAATCTTCCTTGTTTTCTGTAACTAATAAACTTCGTTTCATAATAAACAATTTGTCAAGTGTCATTTATTTACTGCTAATAGTGCATGTTTCAGTTGAGAAAAGCTTGATTAATATTTGATACGGCGTTTTTTGCAAAATTTAGACACATCCAGAAATATGCTACCAATTTTGAACATTCATATCTCCGTTAATTTTAAGTAAAATACAACTGTAATATATCAAAATCTAAGTTAGTCTTTCCTCTATCTAGTGAAAGTCATTTCAGTTTAATAGCTTACTCAATAGCTAGTTTAGAAGTTATTATGAATCAAACTGGAGTACTTTTTTCTGGGACACCCAGTACATCAGAGCATTCGCAAGCAACTAATTACTCATTCACATCTGTCAAAAGAGGAAAATCGCAGGTGTAAACGGGCCTTTACTGGCTTCCATATTTTTTAAGTCCATAATTCACAAGTATACTATCCATTTCGTACATCAAAATCCTATCATTTTCCAAAATCCAATGCCATATCTTCTGTATTCAGACCAAGCCAGTAAACAGTAATAAAAGTGAAATTATCCTTTCGGGGTGGTGGTATAGCTAGAACGGGTAATTTAACGTTCTGCGATGTTGGAAACTAAAGTCTACGGCAATTTTAGGCGACCCTTCCTCCAAATTACCCCTTTCACCCATGAAAGGCTCTCCAAGTGACTTTAATATATCTTATTTTTCTCTAGGTACGGTGGTGGAAGATAAGATTCGACCTGTAATAAAATTTTAACACACATTTCAAGTGACATTCTCAGAATTCGCCACACTTGCAAACTTCGAGAAACTCTGTTCAACAAAAGAGTCAGCGTTTAACTCGTCGCGGGTCGTATAGCAGACAGAATATATTTAAATCCTATTTATTTCAGAGTCGAAATGGACGCGCGTGATGTACATAATAAAGGCTAAACTAGAACTGCACATGTAAATATATTGTTATATAAAACGCCAAGCGTTCATTCAAAGGAGTTGTATAGTTTTAATAGGTTTTTTGAGATTTTAGGCCATTATTAGCGATCTCTAATTTTTGGGGTGGTGGGGGAGGTATTTTGTGACAAAAATGCCTAAATCTGTCGAAATTGCCTGAGTTATCTCCACTCCTCGTACCCCTGTCATAAAGTAGGAACGATACTTTGTTTCACAAGTGGTTACCCTCTTCTTCCGTCCTGGCTTACAAAAGAATGATCAAATGAAGATCTTCCTATGCTCCACTTCGCAGTGCCAGTTTGAAAGGGATTATCAACTGAATATTGCTCTTTTTTCTATTCTTAAATCCTGTTTAAAGATTATCAAATGAACAATGGACGACTTGCGCTTTAGACTAACTTTTGATCGAAGTAACTAGAGGAAAATAAATCACCCCAGCTAGAAAGATCTTACTTAAATTAGTAAAACTGCCAAGTTTGGCTGCGAAATTTTGTAAAATACGGAAGATATAGCCATGCGAAGTTGGCAAATTTTGTATACTTCTGTATTACGTGCGGAAATGTGTAACTAATTTAGTTACAAACTTCCGGTCGTAATACAAAAGTATACAAAAATCGACAGCTTCGCATGGGTATATTTTCCGTATTTTACAAAAATTCGCAGTCAAACTTGGCAGTTTTAATTACTTATTTTAGTAAGCTCTTTCAGAAAATGTCCTTTTAATCGCCGAGGTAAGAAATTAGTCTAAAGCGCAAGTCGTCCATTGTCCCATTCTCTCGTCGAACCTTTTTAGCGACAGTCTCTGTTTTGTTAAAGGCACCGTTTACACGGTACCGGACGAGTTTAGAATAGGTCCTACATTAGTCCTTTTCGGTTTTTCGTTTACACGAGAACAGTAAAGTCGAACAAATTTGAGACCCATAACAGGACGAATTCGATTCGCGGCCCAAATCAGGTTCAGCTTTTGACTCGATCAGTAAATTGGCGAAGAGTCTACGAAATGTAAATGTGAGACACGTCCATGGAGTGCAATGACGAAAAGTTTCGTAGTTGCAAATATACATCTTTCAAAAGTAGAATTGTGTCGCCAGCTGTATAAATAATTGCACCGTGTAACAGGGCTATAGAGAGGTTAAGATACCCCGGTTTCGGTATATGGGTACGGGTAGCCATATTTTGCTCATTGGAATTTCTTGTTTGCACGTTTCAAGATACAAATAATGCTTACCTCAACAGGCTAAACTCTACTACTAGAGAAGAATTGTCGAGTTACTGAGAAACACTGATGGAAACTCATTGAACAAAATAAGGCTACGCGTACCCGTACACCGGAACCTGGGTACCTTAATCATCACCCAGACCCGCCGAAGAAGTTGATCCAGTTTCTCTCTGTCCATCTCACTCTGAACCTAAGGTAGGAATGTTTACTAGTAAGGTACTCCATAGCATCATTTTATTATATATAACAGATCAAATTTAGATATATTAACAACTTGCGTCTAAAATAGTTCCTTTGGTCTATTTAAATTCTAACATCGTTATTCAAGTAGCTACTTTGAATTTAAAATTTGCTGCATGCAGAGTAACTCATTTTGACTATCGCTGAACAAGAAGCCATTTAATCAAAAAGATAAACTTGGGAGAACATGCTATACTCATCGATTCCAGTATGCAAAGGATTGTGATTGTAAATCATTGCAACATTTTCTTCCTTTTGGGATGAAAATCGATTCTTGCTTAACCTTGCTTCTTGAACGAAGAAATTGGAAAAATATTGACTCAATTCAATTGATTCTTGAAAGTGTGGAATAGCTTTTTCGGACGCCCATTCAAAGGCAGGCTTTTCTGGGTGCCATTGTGTCGAATAAAACGGGTATTTTCTTGCTTCCATTGTCGATACAAATTCCACTCCTCGTCGATCGATATTTGTCGTAAGAACTCTGTAAAAATCTTTCAACTCTTTGCTCTCTTGAAATAATTTGATGGGAAACGAGAATATATGAAAATGCGAGGTGATTAAAGTTCCATTGAATATTCTCAGCCGTTCTTGGGGAATATCTCGGAATAGCTTGCTGTCACGGTAGTTTTCTGGGAGATTTAGAGGTGCCGTCATGTTTTGAGAGTCGGTCGGAACACGGTCATCTGTGTTTCCATTCACCAGCATCGCCAGGATATGGTGTCCAAGACACATGCCCATTATTGGAAAATAACCTCCTTCGTCGTACGTCGCTTTAGCCAGCTCGAATATTGTCCTCGAAACGTTAGTGTAACCTGACGTCAACATATTTACTTTTCCACCGGGAAAAACAGCACCATTGATAGAGTAAAATAACTTTTTAGTCTCGTCCTCTGTTAGATTATTGAAGATTGGGACCACACGCGCACCCGATGCTTCTAGAAACTTCACGTACGATGCCGGAATGTATATTTTGCCAAGAGCTTCAAACGACATGTTGAAAGTTGATTGCGCCATCACTCCTATTATCGGCCTTTCTGTTTCAATTTGGCGTCCGGTGCCGTTACCAAAGGCGAAACTAAAACAAAACAATATAAATTTGGCAAAAAATAACCTCATCTCTCTTCTCATCTTAACAAAATCGACTTTATGCACGACATGTACAGTAAAATGTACTTCAAAAAAATATTTTTGAAGAATGAGATTTATTTCCAAGAAATATTTTTGAAGAATGAGATTTATTTCCAAGAATTCGGCGCAGGTGGCATGCAAGTGGTCGTTTTATAGACTGCAAATTTCTGTGAGATGGTACGGGTATTTTTGCCACGGAAATATAAAACATATGATAGTAAGTTGATTTAAAAGCAGTACGTTAGTAAGCCAAGGAAAAGTGGGGAAAACCTATGATATCGATCGAGAGGCTATTAATTTTAATTTTGCTTTATTTTATGCTTTAAACCTTTCCGGTTGGTCCTAATGTTGTGAGTCATAGAAGTGACCGTTGCTTAAATTGAATATCTCTGCAAGTATTTACGCTTAAGATGCCGGAATACCACCAAACGATAGCGCTTGAAGAGGTCATATAAATATAGTATATTCAAATCAGCAGATAGTTATAAGCCGCACTTGGCTTGCGTTGTTATCTCAAATTACTTGCCCATAGGAACAATATACTTTCCAAATTCCATATTTCTCAATTTATTTTGTTCTCTGTTGGCTTTAGACTGTCTTAATTTTGCCTATTATCATTCTGTTATAACTTCGATGTATTTTTGGATTAGGATGTGCAAAAAAATCGGAGAAATAGCCATTTTAAGGCCCCGTCCACACGATGCCGGAAGAATTTGAAAACGCAAGAATATTCTTACGGTTACGCGTATCGTCCACACGTATCCGGCGTTTTCGCCCACTGAAAACGGAAGAATCTGAAAACGCTCTCCAGAGTGGAAGAATTTAAAAACGACGGCTAAGCGGATACATGTGGACAGCTTTGCCGGATAAATTTGAAAACGATGACGCCTGTTTCAAGTCTACTGGCTTTTGCTTAACTTTATGTTGCTATATTAGCCTCAAATAAGTCTTATTTAGGTTATTTTCATGGTGAGAAAAATCTTCGGCAATTCTAATAGCATTTGCGGAAGTATTTTACGAGAGAAACATGTCCAAAATGTATGGTTATACACAAATTCGTATGCACGAAATGCATTTAACAAATACTCAACAACAATAATTATGAGTTTGTGCTTGTCGTCTGTCCAAACAAAGTCCTCATTCTTGTTTTTCACTTTGTATTTGGTAGATTTTTGCTTTGAATTCGACATCCAACGGATCCAACCTGTGACATGCGGGTGGAAAACATGAAGGTGTATTGCGGGATCAAATAACTTTAGCGTTTTCGGGTCGTTTTTGTGCAGGTTTTTGTGTTTACGTGTGGACGCGGATAAATATTTTAACGGATATTTTTGCGTTTTCATATTCTTCCGGCATCGTGTAGACAGGGCCTAAGATCTAAGCGATGAGCCTTGATGAGCGTTGCTAAGCGCGTGCTTAGTGCTTGCTCAGAATAATGTTTTTCTGACGCGGTTCAAAAATGTGACAAAAGTCTGTGTTGCCCACCACCTAGTCAGTTTTTCGGCTTTTTTGCCCGAAATTTTGGGGGAATCTTTTTATTATTGTGAAATGCTTGCCGTGAGCGATGCGATAATACATACCATGACGCAGATTATAAATGTTTATGTAAAAAATCGGCAAAAATCGTCTAAAAGCATGATTTTGAAGCTAAATATAGAAATATCCTAGAAATATCAACTAAATCACTGTAACCAGGTTTTGTTTTCGTTTTGGGCAATATTCTAAGGATTAGGCTGCTTTGAGGTATAATATCGAAAAATAGCTAAATCGCATGCATTTTAAATATCATAGCGAATTTGAAACATATAGAACTAAAAAAAACATCTATCTACTGAGGACTATGTCTTCTTTTAAATGGTTTAATTTTTATTAAAATCGGCCAAGTATTTGCACAGAAAATGCAAGTTAAAGTGAGCCAACCATTTTTAAAGGTCATCTGATCAGATGACAAAGAGTTAAGTGAATTTTCTACATTATATAAGAAGGGCTCGATCATGTTTTGACACAAAGATACTTTTTTACAGTAAGCTTATCTTAAACAAGGTTTATAAAAGCTCTTTGTTCAAATGAAAATTGTTTGTCAGTCTTGAAGTCAACACAACACAGCCGTCAAACACATCTCTTCACGTTTATTTAGATGTACAACACTGGGGATGTTTTAACGATTGGATACAAGGTATTTATAAAATAACTATATAGGCCAGTACATAGGCTTTCATGTTTGTCTAAGGCTTCAATAAAGTGAATTATAAGTGGAGATATATGAGCTTGGATTCTGACCCGATCCCTCTCATATTTACAGTTATAATAATAGTGCATTGCCTTAACCTAATAACATTAAATTTCACTTTCATCTTCCAATCGCAACAAGCATCGACTATGTTTTTATTTAGTATTTATCTCCAGTTTTACGGAGAGTGTAATATTGTGCTTCTAACGACTGCTGCATGGTCTAGTGTCGGAAAGGATTTCACGAATTATGTTTATAAATTCACGAAATAAGATACGTTTTATGTTCATTATATCTATATTTTATCATTCCCAATATTTTAGGATTAAGCCACTAGTAGCTATGTAGGAAGTTGCATGACAACTGAAGTTATACAGATTGGAAAAAAAAAGACTTGCGTCCGTGCAAATCTATTGTTAGAATCAGAGAGTTTTATGTATAATATTCACCCATTTGCAAAAACGTTGGCTGCAGATAGATAGATTCTCGAAATCTAATTAGAATTGCATATGATTACTGTATTTTGCATGGGATCACATTTATTTTTGTTTAGATCAATTAATATAATTAATAATTAGTTCAAGAGTTCTTAGCAAGGCTTCCCCCCGATTAAGTCGCCTCAATAATCATATTACATAAAATAATTAGATTTTGAGTATCTATCTATCTATCTTTAGATTAATGCCTTGTCTTTTTTGTAACCTGATGTTGACAGTAGGATATCTCCGTTAATCAGTACATTTGACATAGTTCTGAAATTTTCAAAACATACTCTTTGTAAGGTCTATTTTGCTATGCTATGCCGCAATCTCTCACAATTTCGCTGTGTTGTCTTATTTTGTAACAAAATTAACTTGAAGGTTACAAAAAGGAGCACTATCGTGCAAATCGTCATTTTCAACTCTTTTTTGGGTTGCAAGCTAAATAATCTTTATCCAAAGAGCCACCTGATTCTTCGGTCGATCTTCGAGCTTTGAGGGCAAAAATTAGGTGCAGATATGTTGTACTCTTACTGCACTAGTTTGTTGCACTCTGTTTAGAAAGAGCTCTGAAACAAGGCAACAACTTTTGATTTTGTGCATAAAATCTTCAATTTACAAGGAATCCAGCCCATGATTTTGCCGTGCTTGATATCTTTGTTTGAATATATTACACAGTAAGTCTCATAAATTTAATCATTTTTTATTTTTTTTGAATTTTATTTTTTTTATGAAAATAGTAAGGTTACAAAAAGGAGCATGCTCCTTTTTGTAACCCAAATTGTTCCCTTTTGTAACAATTCGAAATTTTGTTTTGGATAATTGAGCTATAATTCCTCTGTGCACAGTTTACTAGTGTTTAACTATCTCAAAATACAAAAACGAGAATAAAATATGCCAAACGGCAATTTTTAAAGCATTTGAAGTTCACGTCGGAATAATGTCATTTTTATGTTAGTGAAAAGTTATAAATTTTTTCTTCAATTGGAATGAATAAAATGTGTAATATTGCGGCATATGCTAAAGAAATAAATTTTTTCATGTCTAGAAAAGATTTTTTCCAAGTTTTTAGAAAACACCACCCAATTTCCTGAAAATCTTAAGGGGGGAGATGCCCGATTTTTCAGGCTGTTTTATAGGGTATTTTGGGATTAATAAGGATCACATAGGGTTTATTTTGCTCTATTTTGGACATTTGTAAAAAGTTTCGGCGATTTTAGGATATTTGTCTGTGAAAGGTAAAAAAATATCTTTTTTTTCTACATATTTTACGTTTAAGAGCGAGTTTAATAACATACCTTATTAACTAACTAATTTACAGCAAATGAAAATAGCTTTGACAGTTGGATTACGGAATTTATGTTTGCTGTTTGTTTTCAAGGTTGAAGGATAACTGAGTAAATAAGCCAAATTTTAATTATGATATTGTTATCATAACCTCTGTTTTCTTGACTGTAGCAGAGGAATCAGAAAACTTGTTTGAAATAGAATTTGGCCTTTTTATTCAGTAATCTGGTTGTTTATGTTAATTAGTGCTAGTTTTTAGGCTTGGTAGTTTCAAAGTAAATACTAGGCCAAATAATTATAACATACCGGTCACACCCCGCTGGTTGAATATTTTGCGTGCGCTGATTGGTTCATTGCCGGTCTGGAATCCCCCAGTATTAGACTGTTGCCGTAGTAACGGTCCAGCTCTCATATTTTTGAACAAAAACAAGCTTGTACTTTTATTTTTGTCACGAAAAATATTGATGGAGAATGGACCAAGAAGAGCATTATTATGATATTATATTATAAGAATATTATATTTATTCATCTTTGATTTTTGTTTATATTGCTGTATCATTCTTATTTAACGAGTAAAAAACAAAGTTTTGGAAGCCATTTCATTGCTTGCTTGGCGACTGGCTGGCGAAAGAGCCAGCAAGAATGCTGCAGCGCATTGTATAAATAAATAAACTAAATACTGTATGCCATATAATAAATCCCTTATTAACCGAATATGTTCCGTCCTTACTGGAAAAATATCAGACCTCAGTCAAGAACTCGGTCTGATATTTTTCTAGTACGGACCTCAAATTCGGTTAATAAGTGGTATATCATGCAGTCTCTAAAAATTAAATAAGGGTCTGATATACTTTTAAAGGTTACATATGTTTGTATTATTGAGTTAGGATATGCTAGTACATTTGTGCATATCATTCATATCAATCTGATAATGGTAATAATGTGTTTGATAAATTGTACCGTTGGTCATTGCCAAGTGCAATTAATCTCTAGAAAGTAACTGAGCATCTAATATGCATTAAAAAGTTGGTTTGTATTGCTAAGAGAGGATACAACTAGTATATTTGTGCATATTATTGATATTATAAATCCAAATAGCAGCCCTTATATTCTATGCCGAGGGAAGTTCAGGGGGAATTGCTGTAAGAACAACATGCTTTAGATACAAAAGAAAATAAGGGTCTTATATACAGTGTACATAAAAAAAGTTTGTATTGTTGAGTGAGGAACAGTGGCATTGCCAGCCTGCCAAATTTGTCCTTCTATGTAAATTTCGAGTTATTAGAGTTTTTTGGGTCTTTATAGCAATGTATTGTTTTGACAGTCAGTGAACACCAAAGTATTAGCATAGCGAGACAAATTGTCAGTCTGGCTATGCTACTGGTGAGGATACAGCTAGTACATTTGTGCATATCATTTAAATCAACCTGATAGCAGCCCTTATATTCTGTGGAGGGGGATTTCTTGCTTGTCTGCATGTTATTAACTAATTACTAGGAGAACAGCTCATTTGATCTAGCTACTACAGAACAGTATTGGCCTGTTTTGATAAGTTATGGGGTTGGCATTAACCTGGGGGTAACTTGTATGATATTGTTAATTTTTAGTGTGCTCATAGCATGCCATCAGTCTTGAGAAATAAAGGGGTGAAAATATAGGGCTGTTATACTCAAAATAATTATATTTGTATATTAAAGAGTCGATACATATTCTAGTATACTTATAAGTATATCAAGCCTACAACAACCCCTTATTCTATGGAGCGCAATACATTCTTGGAGAACAGCTTGCTTGCTGTGGCTACAGTAGAATATTGATGCCCTGTTTTATTAAACTTTATGATTTTGATAACTTGTAGGGTGGTCATAACATGTAATCAGTCTTTAGAAAGTAAATATGGGCTGATACATTATACTCAATAATGTTTGTATAACAGAGTAAGAATGTGCTCGTGTATTTATTCATATCAACCCAGCAGCAGTCTTTTGATTCTGTGGAGAGGGGTTTTATTAGCACGTCCTTTGTTCACATCAAATTTTAGTATTTTCTCTTAGTGGTCTTAGACTAGGTTTGGAATGTTCTGTTATATTTTTGCCTTTTAGTAAATTTTGACTGGTTGTACTTTATATTTATAGCAACTATAGCAATTTTTCTAAACACGCTTGCCCCCTACCTGGGAGTACTTGTTACAGGGTACTTGTTCTATATAACTCAGTTGCAACAAAGCAACTTTGGTGTTGGTAGTGTTTAAGAAAATTTTGTGTCCTTAAGGGCTTAAAGTTTGATCTGAATATCGTGTAGCAGAATTCTGCTATAACAGTTTTTTTGTTTTTCAGCTACCTGCTTCTTTACTAGTCTTCACTCTATGGTCGGGGAGTGTTATTTTCTTTTATTTATGTTTATAATCCTATGTCCCGGCCTGTGTAAGTAATATACTCATGTATAGGATTTAGGTTTTAGATACTTTGTATGCTGGGTTTTAATTCGGAAGGAAAACATATAACATATAATTTCAGTATGCATAATGTGGACCATAGTAAGTGATAACAACATACTTATGGAACACAATTTGGATATTAGGACCAAACCAATAGCGTTCGAATATAGAAAACACCTAAGTAATGTATGCTACATGTTCAAATTTCAAGCAAACATGTTTGCTATTTTGCGCTGTTAGCTAAAAGGTGCGATCAAATGTCGGACTTGATTATCTTAAATACACACAAATATGTTTTAGTAGGGCATACCAAGTCTATGATAAGTGACTCAAATAGTCTAAAACTATGCTAGTTGGAAATTATACTTGTCGCATACTTGTTTGAACACTTTTGGTACCTATGTATATATTTTTTATACTAAATTATCTTTCATTGGTACCGCCCTGATATGAGTATTGAATTGTGACTTGACATCAATTAGCACATCCTTTACCATGCGTCTTTAACTGTAATTGTGATTTTGGTACGTGTATGCATTGAAAAGTTGAAATCTTAAAAGTTAAGTTATAAAAATTACTACTAAACATAATTCTGATCATTATATATATATATACGCTAAAAGCACGCAATAAATTTAGAGAGTCCAGTTAAGGCTAATTTCCACTGTCACGTTTTCTGTCCGTACCTATTTATACGCCCGTGAATTTTAAAAAGGTTTAAGTTGCTGTAAAACTAAACAGGCAAGTCGTTAAAGAGTAATAAACTCTGCGCATCAATTTATTAATTATGTTGTTTTAAAAGTCAAATATTATCTGGGGCCGGTTGTATCAAGCCCGCGCGTTTCGTGGTTAAGTTCACAATAGAAAGCAAGTCTATCGTTTTACTCAGGAAGCAAACTAAATGTTTTTAACTTTAATACAAATGTACTGTTTACAACTACATATTCAGCGCATAATATTCAAGTTGACTCATTCAAGAAAGATGTAAGCGTGTTATTTAAATTTGACTTATCCCACCGTTAGACACCTTTCGAACAACCGGCCCTGGAAGTCAACCTTTATGACTTTTATGCATGTCTCGGTGAAAACCAGCTTTCATAAACATACTGCCTAAAATTTTTGGTCTGGCAGTCTAATGATCAGAGCAAAAATTACCTGACTAGTTTTTATATATGTTCTTTATTTGCACTAAACCAAAATACTGTACCCACTACATAAAACTATGTACGTAATGAATAAAAATGATGTTTCACATTGGCGTAATCACAAACATTAAATTCCAATTTAATATGAACGGCAGCCTTTAATCTTGTCCGATAAAAAAATTCTACCGCGCTGTTACTTCTAGCCTTGAACTTTAATTCAGTTTTCATAAATGTTTGAGCATTTTGTGCCCAAAGAACATGCCCTGTCTACCGCGCACCAAAAAAGTTAAACTGTTTGATTGAGTATAACTTCAGAATGAAAGAGCTCTTATGCTAAAATTATGTTTTTTGTACATCCTCTAATGTCGGAATTAAATTTGGATATATAGCATGAGGTTTTTCGTACAATTTGACCGAGATATCGCCGATATATCCTAGTTGGATATATTTGCAATTCCTAGTATACTCTAAAAAGTTCCCATCTTATTGCTCTTACAGATCTTACAGATTCAGATTCACAAGGCAATGATATTAGCAAAGAAAGTAGTATGTACACTAACTGTAAAAAGTAGGATTATCATAAAAGTTTTATATGTACATTTTCTATTGAATAATTGAACACTTATATTTTAGAAAGTCCAAACAACCCAGATGAAGGTGATGATCTTCCTAAAACTTGTGACAGCGAGTGTGCTCCATCGGTACATAGTTCTAAAAGGACATTAACGTCATTTCTAACCATAGAAGCTCCTCAAAGCTCATCCAAAGCTCCTTCGCTCGTCCAAACCAGTTGTAATGAAAAAAGTGGTAGAGACCTTGCAGAAGACACCTAGGCTTTCCCATTTGTTGGAAACATTTACTAACCGCCAATTAGCTGATAGAGTGCGCTCAGAACGAAAAGCCATTGTTCGTGCCAAGCAGAAAAATAATTTAAAAAGTAAGACTAAACGTAACGCTAAAACTAGTTGAATTAAATAATTAAATGTTAAGCCCGAGCTCAGCAATCTCATATATAACAGAACTTTCCAATCAAGTATAACAGAGATGCAAGTTTATAGTATATCGTTTCAGCAACTATCTAAAGTATATAAGAAAGTTCGATTAAGGTTTTACTCAGAGAAAAAAATAGTTCTCATGCAGCATTCTCTTTTTAACAGCACTTGGCGGCCAGGTATACAGGAACTTAGCTTCATCGCTTGATGGGGGCAGGTGTATACTAATATATTCATATAAAACTGTACAATCGTAATCAATCAGGCACAAAAGGAAAATATAAATATACCCGCGCCCATTGGAACTTCGCACTGAACTTCGCAACTGCGTTTTGAAAAGTTATGTGAAATCTACAATAAGTTTCTAGGTATAGCTCTGACCAGATAGCAGCATATAGCCTTGGCTAAAATATACAAGTGCTTTAGTAGAATTATCAACTGGCTAGGCTATGAAAAAATGGATAGGTTTATGTTCCATTGGACACGGTGTTCATTATAATCGCTACTATTATATATATATATATATATATATATATATATATATATATATATATATATATTAAAGTAATATATAATGTATAATCTATATATTATAATCGCTGTTTTTTAGTCAATTAGTTGCTCGATATTATAACGATGTTGGTGCTAATACAAAAAACTAAATTATCTATTTAATTCAAGAAATTTATTCTGTGATCCTTATAGCTGTTAAATACGTAAAATTTCACTCTTATGATGAATAACATTTTTCGTTTGAGTACAGTTCTGAATAAATGTACAATGTATAGATATACAATATTGGTACAGTATGTATAATTAAAATGCCATATATAATAATTGTAATGATTTTTAATAAATATGTTCTTGACTTGCATTGATTTCAATGTTTTTATTGTTTTTATTTCAAAGTTATTTTATAAAGAAATCCAGTTTCCCAATTATTCACAAGGAATGCGTTCTAGTTTTTATAAGTACGTACACGCACGGAAAACTTTAAATGCTTCGAAATTTTTATTATTTAACATCTAGGTCTACTTTCTTTCGATTTATTTACTTAGCTTTTTCAAAAATAATATCTATAACGTCTAAAGACTTTTACGTGCGTGTATATACATAAAACGCGTAACTGGAAAACAGCCTTAACTCTTCCAAACATTTCAAGTGCAAATATTTTAGACCAGCTTATCACAATGAATTATTTGATTCTTTACACACTCATTCTGCATTCAACTGTATGTGGGTACTTTGTGAAGTGCATATCTCCCGCTAGGAATCAAATCCATGGTTGAGACATTTCGTTTCCATTAAACTTGGTATTACAATAATACATTGTCCGCTTACACAATGTATAATTCAACTTTTTCAAAATGAAATGTCTTTATGATGCTATTTATGGAGGACTGTTGGGAAAATCCAAGGAAATAAAGCCAATGAAAATACAATTAGTTTTAGCTCTAAAAAAGTATCCCGGTATCTTTTTATTTTCCATCTTCATTTTTTGGTGTTATCTATTGTTAGGTTATCTATCTATCTATCTATCTGCATGCGGCCAACGTTTATTACAGTTTCTAACATCACTCTTTATTTACAACCATTTGCAACGATGCCAAAAAAATCCATTCTTACCAGAGCCTAAAATCGTTACCATCAATTATATAGCATCAGATAAATAATGTAAAAGTGAATATTTACACCTGCCAAAGGAACTAATGTAGGCAATATGGAACGACTAATTTAGTTCCTAGTTACAACCATCATCGCTACCAACATTTAAACCTAATTTCGGTCGGTTTTTTTAGCCGTTATAACGAATTGTTTCATTTTCACATTTCGCGGAAAACCGGACGGTGACACAGCTCAGAACAGAAGATTTTTTTTTGCAATAACAACGATACCATCTTCCGTTAGAAATATAGGCTCATGTGATCACACACTTGATAACGCACCTAATCTTAATAAGTTGAAAACAAATAAATATGATGATCCTATTCCAACATAGTTTACATAAAGAAACTCTGACACTGTAAACTTGACCAACCCTTGAAATGGTTGAATGCACCAATTTTAGCACACGCAACATCGACACAATAATTGTTCGTGCACGCGAGTTTGTGTTTATCGTCTTTTCCTGTTTAGTCAAAATTAAGATTTCAGTAAGTATTAGCTTGCGTCTTCAGTAAAGAAACTCGGTATGATTTCAATTGTGACAAATATTCTCAGTTCAACAGTTGGTTTATTATGGAATAAGGTCCGAGACTCGACGGCGGACAAACTCAAGGACGCCGATTTCCATTTCGCAGCCATCAGCAAGTAGAATCATCAAACGTGTATCTGTAGCAATTGCCCGCTTACAGAATCAACCAGAACGCCGATACAATGTTGCGCATAATATTCATACGAAAACGAAATATAGTAAAAAGAATGTTTGGCGTATGGAAGAGAATGTTCACATGTTTATCAATGTGCCTACAAACGAAACTAGAAACGACCTTAACTATTATTGTCGCAACTGCCGTTTTGTACAATTTTGTACGCAGTCAAAATGATCTCTTTGATGAACCAGATACCGGATTATATGCCGCTGGCGGAAGATGAGCTACCTGATGCGCATGTTGGTGAACCACGTTTAGGATTTAGGAAATTTAGTATGCTTTTCATATCTTTAGCCTCAAAATCGAGCCTTTAGAAGATTTTTGCCGATTTTTTATATAAACAATTTACATGCATGCATGATGATAATTTATGAATTATCGCATCACCGGCAATAATATTTCACAATAATAAAGATATCGAAACACATTTCGGGGAAAAAAAGCCGAATAAATGACCCCTTGGTCCAATTTTACGTCAGGAATCGATTTTTCGGGTCAAAATTACTCTAGTGGGAGGGTGTCATGGTCGGCGTTAGATCATATCGAACTAACGTACATGACGTCATAAATTTTGCAATAACGGAAGTATAATAACAGAAGTCTTACATGAAGTCTTTCTAGAGCTGGTTCATAAAAATGATAAAATAAAAATGGCGATGAATGATGATACATTTATACATTTATAAATGTACACGAAAGTGTAAATGTCTGTTACCCTCATACCCAGTATAGGAGTGATCATATACTCATGTAATAGTATCTCTGGCTTTACCTTAATTACGGTTAGGGTTATTGAAAATTTTATGACGTCATGTACGTTAGTTCGATATGATCTAACGCCGACCGGGCGTCATAGAGTTGTGTCGTATTTTCCAGCCATATGACAACATTCCGAGCACGTAGAACTTATAAAACGCTATTTCTGCGATTCTTTTGTACATCCTACCCACACAAAATTATTCGGAATTATGACAGAAGGATAAATATGATAATTCAGACATTTTAGAACAAAAAAAGCGAAAAAATACGGAATTTGTAAAGTATATGGTTGCTATTGGTGAGTAATTTGAGATAACAATTATAAAGCAACTTATTTTTTTGACTCTTGTTTTGACTTATAATACAAATGCAGCTTATAACTATCTGCTGGTTTGAATATAATATTTAAATAATCTTCTCAAGCGCTATCTTTTGGTGGTATTCAGGGGTCTTAGCCCAAATACTTGCAGGGATATACAGCAGGGATACAGCTTCACGAAGCGGATAGAAAATTCAAAATCCATTCAACGGAATTAAAGATCTTCTAACTCCTATATCAATTAGTTTTTGGATGAGAGCATTATGGCCAATTCGATAGAAGGCCATTTTCTTCCAAATTCTTTTATGATTATATAATGTGTAATTCTTTTATTGTAATTCAAAATTCTTTACTTGTCTCATTAATGTATTAAAACAACATGGATGAAGCAAACTTGTTGTATTTTATTACTCATATATGTGTTATTTTGCTGGCTGTGCATTACATACTTCCCTCCCCCTATATTTAAGTATCAGACACGTAAACAATAATTTTTTAATATCCTTTTGAAATAATCATAATCGATTATTTTTCTTAAATATCCGTTTGATTGTTTCAACTCATAATAGAAAAGATTGATTATTCACTCTCTACTTTTCAAGTAGCCAAGCTGGGTGTCAGCAAAACATAATTCCCACCTGATCCATTTTGGTTTAAAATTTTGATGGAAACTTCTAACACAATGAGCGATGTACCGCTCAAACAAGGCTGGAACTTGTTTGATAAACTTGAATGTGATACAGCGCTTGAAGACCCCCGCTGCGTCCTTCAAATGATGAACACGCAATGATCAGTTGCATGCATTACCAAAATCCGGGGATATCTTTGAAATGGTCTTTTTCTCTGATCGCAGTTCAATATCTTTGAAAGAAACAATATCCTAAGATGATGCTAGACATCTTTTTGAATGAAGAGACTGGAATATGTGTACAATCACCCACGAATACATTGTAGACAAAGAAAATTAGCGAAATTGCTGCCTGGAAATTTCCATATGCTAAAATTAAATAGTGAACATAGCCAGAAGATCGCGAGGAATTCAACGCTAGAATGAATCTGCTTGGGCATATTTTCTTGTAATCAGTCAAAGTTTAGCTTCGGTTAGGTGATGAAATTAACTCGGTATGTCATCAATTGTGACAAGTATTCTTAGTTCAACAGTTGGTTTATTATGGAATAAGGTCAGAGACTCGACGGCAGACAAACTCAAAGACGGCGATGTAACCGATGCTGAAATTCGCAAGATTGTCGTAGCAGAGCTAGACGATATCACGTCTAACATCGATGGCATTTCTACACCAACTTTACTCGCCAGTTATGATTTCCTTCGGGAAGGAATAGATTTACTCAATGTCTCTCTTGATGAATCAAATCCCGAGCAGAAAGCGAGCGGAACTCAGGACAAATCGGATGAACCTTCTAGCGATATTCCGTCTGTTTTCTTGAACCAAGCAGTGAAGCTCACCCGCGCTA